AAATTGAAATATGGGTCAAATTGCGGCCGCGATCTATTTCACAGTTGGAGTGTTTTTTTTAATTTATTGAGCGTTTTTCCTGGAAAGATCACAACAAAATCTACGAATACTCCAATTTTCTGTTTTTTTTCATGCATTCTTCGGAGCACGAAAACTCACTGAATTTGGAGTACTTTTTCAGTTGGCCTACACGTGACTGAGTGGCGAGAATGGAAAATGTGTCGAATCGGTTCGACGATTATTTCGCAGTCTACATGATTTTTTGAAAATATTCTAATATTTTTCTTGGAAAGAACCTGCGCTCATCTATGGATTCTCAAAATTTCAGATTTTTCTGCGGGTTCCTCCGAGTACAAAAGATCACAAAAGTTGTCTCTTGCAAAACGTCTGTTTCGTTGCACCTGACCTCCCAGTTTTGGAAAGATGGGCCTCAACGCCTGGGCCTGCTGGCCCTTTTGCAGTTCGCAGCCCTAAGGCTGCGGTATAGTGTGTTTCCGCGTCTGTGTCAAGGTGTCACATTTTCGGTGGCGGACCAGGACGCAAAGTGGGTTCTTAGGGGACAAATGTTTTTGGGGGACCGGTCCTTGGCAAAATTGCAGACTACCTACAGCTAGCTCTTCTAGAACCGGGACTTTTGGAAAAAGAAAGGACCGGTCCTCGGGTGGAAGTGGACCCCAAAAAGAAGTGGGGGGCGTTGGACCGGTCCCCGGGTAGAAGCGGACCCCAAAAAGAAGTGCGGGCATGTGAACTGCAAAAGGGCCCTCAGGCCCAGGCATTGAGCCCCGTCTTCTCAAAACAGGGAGCTCAGGCACAACGAAATAGGCGTTTTGCAAGAGGCAACTTTGACGATTTTTTGTGCTTGGACGAACATGCACAAAAATCTGGAATTTTGAGAATCCATAGATGAGGTCGTATTCTTTCCAGAAATAATAATAGAACATTTACAAAAAATTATTTACACTGCGAAATAATCGTCGCGCCAATTCGGCACATTTTCCATTTTTGTCACTCAGCCATGCCTGGGCCAACTAAAAAAGTACTCCAAATTCAGTGAGTTTTCACGCTCAGAAGAATGAGTGAAGAAACCTGAAAATTGGAGTACTCGTAGATTTTGTTGTGATCTTTCCAGGAAAAACGCTCAATAAATTAAAAAAAACACTCCAACTGTGAAATAGATCGCGGCCGCAATTTGACCCATATTTCAATTT